CCCCCCCCAGGGCAGTGCTACTGACTGAAGTTGTCTTTAGGCCATTCCCAAAGGTGGATATTGACATACTTCGTATTCACAGTAGAATTGTAAATGGGCTGACTTACCAATGTCATGCTCATACTCATACTGTGGCGAAACAACATAGGGGAAACTGCTGCTTTTTCTTTCCTCATCACTTTCGTCATTTTCCCTCAACTTCTTTCGTGTGTTTGTCACTCTCTTGTGAACTGTTATTTCCAGGGTGCCTTGAAAGTTAAAGCAGACTCTGTGCTGTTGAGGCTAGAGAGGTGAGCAGAGTAAGCCTGATTCCCCGTTTGGATTTCTCTGTTGACATCCACCCCTTGGCGCTCATATGACTTTAAAACCTTAGTAAAACTAAACGTACTCAGGAGGTATGAGTTCGATTCCCGTTTAGGGAGGATTTTTTTGTTTTGTTGTTTTGTTTTTTGTTTTAAAAAATCGAGTATATCCTCCCGTCTCCTGGGACACTGTATCCATCTCAGTCTGAGTTGGTCTTGAAAAGCAAGGTCGAAGCTCATCTATTGAAAGGTCTAAATTATGTTGATAGAGGCGTAATATCATCATCATCCGGTGCCTTGCCGTCTGGCGTGGGCGATGATGGACCTACATTTCCATCTGTCTTGCAGCAATGGTATCTGTTGTTCTTGCAGCTCCCAGCCATGTTGTCAACTTGTCCAGTATCTTTTCCCTTTGTCTGCCTTTGCCTCTCTTTCCATCAAACGTGCCTGTTGTTAACACTATTCTCCTATGCTTCTTTCCGCATTGTGTGTTCAATGAAATTTGCCTGTCGCTTTCGTATATTCGTCATAATCTGTCGTCTGCCATTTGCTTCAACGAAGACTTCTTCATTTGTGTTTCAGTTACTGGGACACGGAGCTTGTGTCTTGTGAACAACTCTGTCGCCTCAAGTGTTCTTTCCAGCTCTCTACGGATGGCCGTAAATACCTACATTAAAAAAACACAACAAAAAACCCCCACGAACAACCAGATATCTTCAAGTGTGCTATTTGAACGGTGGCCAGACATATCATTATATTATTTCATAATTTTAAAGCAGTTATAATTGGGATATAAAATTCTGCAGTAAGCTATACAATATTATGTGCTAGTTAAAATTAAAGGATTTTTGGAGGATGGACGCAACTGGTAGGTCTTACTTCTGTACTCTTCTTTGGTTGTTTCTGCCTGTCATTCTTGCCCCCTCACCCCCCCCCCCCCACTTAATGACCTTTGTTGTGTCCACGTCCTTCACCTTACTAAAATAACTTAATTATAGTATAATCTTTCATTTTACTGTTCTTTCTATTTCCAGCCGGACTACAGCATGGACTTCTCGAGATTGATCACGTGACTTCAAACAGGGACGCATGCCCTGTTCACAACAAGGAGCAAGGTGACCCAACTGCTATTTCTGATGCTCTGAATATTCTACCGTGCTGAAGTTCTGGAGTTTTGATTGAGGGATACCAGGCGTCTCGTTTCATTCTGGATACTACATCATTCACTCACCGATGTGACACGTCGTATATTTTGTTTGTCAAGAATCAGCTAAGAATCTGACGCCAACTTGGGGAAAAGTTGTGCTTTTCTTAAAGAGGTCATACGTAAGTTGGGAATTCCCACTGTCAGCATCGTGTCGTTTTTTTCTGATCCACCAGCGCTGAGGATTTGTTCACATTATCTCCGTCACTGGAAGCTGTCCTGTTCTTGGATATCATCGTTACTACAGCCACCAGCGTTGCCATCGAGGCCCTGCAGTATATCAACGCTGTAGCCACATCACTTTCATAGTATAAGTTGGTGGTAGCTATTGGCTTCTATCGAATCCACAAATACGAGCCGGCTCTTATATGACCTGATTGAGTTGCAAGTGCCGTAAAACTCGTGCTAAAAACAAACAAAGACCACAACGTACACTATCACTACGATCAGTAGCACTGAAGGAATGAAATAAGCGAAACGAGGTAAAAATCTCAAACGAGGGAAAAACTCAAACGCCAAACCGCCGAAGCTCAGAGATCTGGAGGGCATTATGGACAGACCCACAATGCATCTGCTGAAAGTTGTGTACGTGGCAGCTAGCCTGGTTGCCCTGTTGACCGGGGAGTCGGAGGCCAGCTTCGACATCTGCATGGACGAGGCCATGGAGCAGGTGTTGGCCTGTCAGCCCACCATCTATGACGTAGCCTCCGGGGCCAACACAAGGGTCAGCCTTGATCCCGCGGACGCCACTTGTGGAAGCCCCGCCACTACCTACAGGAGACTGGGAGATAGGGTGAGGCCACATAGTGTTACGATTTCTTTTTGTACTGTTGTTTTTTTGTATTGTTGCTGCTGCTGCTGTTGTTGTTGTTGATGCTGTTGTTGTTGTTGATGCTGTTGTTATTTTGTTGTTGTTGTTGTTGTTGTTTTTGTTGTTGTTATTTGTTGTTGTTGTTGTTGTTGTTGTTGTTGTGTTTCGTTGCGTTGCGTTGTGTGATTCTTGTTTCTGTTTGAACTGTTGTCGTCGTCGTCGTCGTCGT